GTATTTTATACCATTTATTTCCAGCAGTCATACGTAGACAAGTGGATCTGTAAATTAGACACATGCAACACTTGGGTATCTGGGGCGCATCCTCAATAAAAATACCCAGGTATTACACCTGTCTAATTTATTAAGATACCCAGGTATTACACGTGTCTAATTTATCAACCTGTCGATTCACTGAACCATTTATTTACAAATGTAACTGAACATACACCGGTAAATGTGAATTTTGCAGTGCGTATAGGAATGTGTGTGTATACACAGGTTAACTGATCTCTAACAAGACCATTAACTAAGCAGCACACACATGACTGAAGAGAATTAGACACATAAGCAACATCTGGGTATGTTAGGTAAGACACATATGCAACAGTTAGGTATCTTTATTATGAAACGTTTCGCCTACACAGTAGGCTTCTTCAGTCAAGTACAGAAAAGTTGATAGAAGCAGAAGATACTTGAAGACGATGTAATCAGTCCATCACCCTTAAAGTTTGAGGTGGTCAGTCCCTCAGTCTGGAGAAGAGCATTGTTCCATAGTATGAAACAATATGGAGATGAAGTGACAGGATGGAGCTTTTTATAGCGCCAAGAGGTGAGACGTCGGTATTTTATACCATTTTAATGTTCAACATCTGGGTATCTTTAATGTTTCGCCATCCAGTGGCTTTATCAATACAAATTCTAGCCAGTGAACGGCGAAACGTCTACATTAAAGATACCCAGATGTTGCGTGTGTCTAATTTTCATCTTGTCGGTATTGTAGACCATTCATACACAACACACAAGACTAATGGGTGGGACTGGTTAAATTTGAGAAAGACTGGCCTAGTATGAACCAGTAGGCCTGCCGCAGTGTTCCTCCATTATATTAGTCTCATATGAATGAGACTCACATCAGGAGATTCAACTGAGTGGTTAGTAGATAAGATACCTCCACTTTTATGACTACTCCGAGGTCGCAGAATTAACATGACTCAGGAAATCGTAATTACACGGCTTTGAGGGGACTTGAGCTAGAGTTCGTCACGGCCACGCTAGCTGGACATTCGTCTATAAAAACTTGCATTTGTGGTCAAAGTGGTGGCCTATGCTAACCTTCCTATGGTGTAGAAATAAACCTAGTTGGATGAATCTTATTGTAGCTAGCTGGTCCAGTGGCTAACCCGACGGTCTGAAGTTTTGAGACTCTGACCGCGGGTTCTAACCCCACCCGTGGTATGGTACCGAGGATAAAAGTTCTTGAATGTTAATGGTTCCCGGCATCAATGTCTATAGGCTTCCTAAACTGAAGAAACATTAAGAGGGATGACATCTATTTAGAAACAAACAGGAAAAGTTTGTAAGATTGACCTGCCATCTTACATGTTGACCTCACAAACTCCTCCTTTCCTTACGCCTTCCTCTTTGTATTGGACTGATGAAGCCACTGTGTGGTGAAACGTTTCCTGAATAAAGATTCCCATATGCTGCATAAGTGTCTCAATCTTCAACTTGTCGGTTTTACAAACCATTCATCGCAAAATGCCAGAAATTTTACCGGAGCAGCGTAGCATTATAGGGGTTTCTATTTGTAAAGTAAAAGGACACAAGTGCAACTAATGGACATAATTCAACATAATGGACATTTGGGTTTCTATTTCACACTGGTACGGAACAAAATCAGTGACTTCCTGGAAATTGGATCTGTGCTCCGGTTCCCTAAATTGAGCCTGAATACCTTCCATCTCTCCTTCTAACCCCACCACGGGTGGGGTTAGAACCCGCGGTCAGTCTCAAAACTCCAGACCGTCGCGTTAGCCACTGAGCCAGCTAGCTACAATAAGGTTCATCCAACTAGGTATATTTCTACATCATAGGAAGGTTAGCATAGGCCACCACTGTGACCACAAATGCTTCCTTATGTTTGCAATCATAAGAACATACGGAACACTGCAGCAGGCCTACTGGCCCATACGAGGCAGGTCCAAGTCTCCTACCAGCTTAAGCCAATGCCCCAACCTAGTCAGGTCAAGTCACATTCACTTAAGGGAGGAACACGGCAACTGACCTATTAGCACAAACTAATCAGGTCCAACTCACACCAATCGTGTCATTACGATTTCGTGAGTCAAGCTATCCATGGTTATAGCTTCAATAACACTATTTGCAAGTTTGTTCCACTAATCTACAACTCTATTGCTAACACAGTACTTCCATTTTGATATTCAGTACTTCCTGTTGCATGACGTCTTTCCTAGCCTATGGGTAAATCTTCCCACACCTACTGTTTCGTCCTCCAGCAGTAAATCAATATTGATAAATTAGACACATGTGCAACTCTTGGGTATCTTTATTGAGGAAACGTTTCGCCACACAGTGGCTTCATCAGTCCATACAAAGGAGAATCTTGAAGAACAGGAGGAGAATGAGGTAATCAGTCCCTCAACCTTGAGTCGATGTGGTCAGTCCATCAATCTTGACCACATCGACTCAAGGTTGAGGGACTGATTACCTCATTCTCCTCCTGTTCTTCAAGATTCTCCTTTGTATGGACTGATGAAGCCACTGTGTGGCGAAACGTTTCCTCAATAAAGATACCCAAGAGTTGCACATGTGTCTAATTTATCAACATGTCGGTTCTCTGAACCATTCATCTACAAATCAATATTACCTGGGAGATCCTGATCTAAACTCACGTGTGGAAGTTATTAAAGCTATTTTTAACAGGGATTTATTATTATATTACCGCGTTTTACCAACGTTCAATAAATTTCCCATTCTGAGTGAAACGTCGTATAATATTGCAAATCCGAAACCACTATATATCTTGAAGTCCACTGTTATGGGTGGCATCCTGGGGGCTAAGCCAAGACCCACATCACGCCTTAGTTTCTCGCCGTATCCTGGGTTGAACATTAAAATGGTATAAAATACCGACAGGTTGTTAGGTAAGACACATATGCAACAGTTAGGTATCTTTATTATGAGATACCTAACTGTTGTTAGGTAAGACACATATGCAACAGTTAGACAACTTTATTCCGAAACGTTTCGCCTACACAGTAGGCTTCTTCAGTCGAATACAGAAAGTAGGCAGGAACAGTAGAGATGTGAAGACGATGTAATCAGTCCATCACCCTTAAAGTCGTAGAATTTGAGGTTGTCAGTCCCTCGGCCTGGAGAAGTTCAGTTCCATAGTCAGGAACTATCTTTCTGTATTCGACTGAAGAAGCCTACTGTGTAGGCGAAACGTTTCGGAATAAAGTTGTCTAACTGTTGCATATGTGTCTTACCTAACAACCTGTCGGTATTGTATACCATTTTGATGTTTACCTAACTGTTGCATATGTGTCTTACCTAACAAGTATCCTGGGTTATCAGTGCTCCGTGGTTAATTTACCTTTGATCTAACTATCCTCCGGGGTTAACAAATATCACAATCACAAACAAGCAATTAAAACAGCCGTATCTTAGCTTTTAATACCGAGGTGAAGAATGCACCAAACCCGTGTGGATCGTATCAAAAAAAATTAATGCGGAACTTAGAAATCCCACTTAACAGAACTTTGAAACGATATAATAAGATTTCTCAACATTGCCTGGATTTATATCTATATTATTATTATTATTATTATTATTATTATTATTATTTTCTCTACCACTTGAAAGGCCGCCTTCCCCGTTGAATATCTGTTCAACTAGACTGTTGCTGCTTGTTAATATTTTTCCTGATGCCTGACACCTCTACTGGACAGAAAGCTATTACTTACAAGCCTAACCAGTCTACTGTAAGCCTTAAAAAAGTTCTCTCATAGATTTAAAATAGGTTGGCCTATCGACTGACCCTCACTGCATGAGGGTCAGTAAGGCTGGTGAGCGAAATGTGCCACAGTATATCACATTATTACAACGCGTCATTATGGGCTGCCTACCTATAGGCTATACGAGGGGTCACTAAACTGGATGGAAATAAATGGTATAAAATACCGACACAATGGAAATATAAACACATATGCAGTATAATGTGATCCTTTATTGACTACGTTTCGCCCACACAGTGGGCTTTTTCAAGTCACAAACAGAACTGTTTGTGACTTGAAAACTGTTTGTGACTTGAAAAAGCCCACTGTGTGGGCGAAACGTAGTCGATAAAGGATCACATTATACTGCATATGTGTTTATATTTCCACGGTCACTAAACTCAAAATTTTGATTTCTTTGTGGTATACAAACTGTAGTTTATATGTAATAACGTAGTTAGGCACAAAGAAAGCCACTAACATATTTGATCATTCTGGGAAGACTGCATGTTACCTGTTCACCACTTGTCGAGAATATTTTAATCCCTAAAATAATGATTAATGAAAACTCTCAAGCGTACAGCCTGGTTGACCAGGCAAGCACCAGACGAGCCTGGTCCATGGCCGGGCTCCGAGAGTAGATAAACTGTGATGAATGGATTAGAAAACCGACAAATTGAACATTAAAATGGTATAAAATACCGACAGGTTGTTAGGTAACAAAACCGACAAGTTGAAGAATTGAGACACTTATGCAACACATGGGAATCTTTATTGAAGAAACGTTTCGCCACAGTGGCTTCATCAGTCAAATACAAAGTAGAAATGGGTAAGGAGAGGGACTGATTACCTCAAACTTCTACTCTCCTTACCCATTTCTACTTTGTATTGGACTGATGAAGCCACTGTGTGGCGAAACGTTTCTTCAATAAAGATTCCCATGTGTTGCATAAGTGTCTCAATTCTTCAGTAGATAAACTCTCGAAACACTTCAAAGGTACACCAAAGGTATGGTAAGGTATATATAGTGTAAACATAGTGATGGTATAAACCTTGGTAATAAATACCGACAAGTTGGTTTAGAAAGACACGTAATCAAACACTATAACATTTATTAGAAAACGTTTCGGTCCTGGGACCTTGATCACTTCTAACATACAGAGGTAGAAAGACATTATATATATAGGCGGAGAGTGAGGTGTGACGCACGTGACCTGAGGAATGTCATAAGAACATAAGAATGGAGGAACACTGTAGAAGGCCTACTGGCCCATGCGAGGCAGGTCCTGTATGTTAGAAGTGATCAAGGTCCCAGGACCGAAACGTTTTCTAATAAATATGTTATAGTGTTTGCTTACGTGTCTTTCTAAACCAACTATTCAGAATGTATAGTCACAACTTCAAAGGGGGAACTTCTCTTTTTCAATACTTTTATTTACCGTTGCATAATAGCCTAATTGTTGCCGCCCGAGACAAGAAGGTACTGAAGAACGAGAGTTTAGTCATGTTGAAGCGCTAAACCCGAAGGGGTTGTACAGTGCCTGGGTAATAAGGGGATAATCGGGTTTGATCCGAGGATGGGGAGGTAGTAACTTCAATTACTTGGATTAAGAGCTCTTCACCAACATAAAAGTACCTTTAAAAAAATTAATTAGAAGCAGCCTAGCAAGTGTTTGTATATTATCTAGGCTTTAAGTGACACCTAAGGGTTTAGCGCTTCCCATTATTTTATCAGCTGTTACCTGATAATGTTCCAGAATAAACCGAAATCTTCATCATAAGGTTCCACTCTCAAGTGCGGGTTATTTGTGAATTAGTTGTAACTTACCTTGAGAGACTTGCATCTTGGGTCCAGGAAGCTGGCGACGTGGTGGAGAGGCGTGAGCGCTAGAGCTTCTGTCAAGCTGCTGGCCAGGTGCTCCTTCAGCTGCTTCAGTGGCGGTGAGTTGGCTGGCGAAGCACATAGCTGCAGCAGTTTGGCCCGACACAGCACTGCTTGGTTGAGTGTAGGCCGCAGGGGATCCCGTACCGTCAGCAGACATCGCCTTACACCCGTCAGGAGTTCAGCCACCTCCTGGTACGCTTGGCGTTCCCCCAGCAAGGAGCTGCCGCCCTCACAGCCAGCCATCACTACACAGAGCTCATCATGATGGGCAGTAATGAAATTGAGAGCGTGAAGAAGGGCGTCCCATCTCCGAACCTCGTGAGGTTTCAGGCCACATCCCGTCACGCTGGCCACCCCAGAATCAGCCAGAAAGGACAGAACAGCCGCAACATCGTCACAGATCTGTCTATAAGATGGCTCATTCATCAAGGCTTCCAGCACGGCCTCTGTAGCGTGCCACACACACCTCACTCCTACAACACCTGGCTCCGCTGGGCTTCCTTGGTCACTGACAACGGTGACATGTTTGTCCCTCATAGCTGCTGGCACCAACACGTCGCTGAAGAAGTTAGCCAGGAGCGCCGTTACTGATTCCTCCTCCGTTTCTTGCTCGCCCATACGATGTGCGCCTAGGGCATAGCTGCGGAGTTCGAATTTTGGCGTGATAAAATGTATGGCACCTGTCAGGAGTTGAAGATCTCGGTCCTGGTGTAGTGAGAGGCACAAGTTGGGCTGGTCAAGCACTGCCCTGGCGATTATGGAGCGGGAGTCACCCGCCATGGGACTGAGGAAGGTGTTAAGTAACTGCCTGGCGGAGGGCAAGGGTTCCTCTTCTCGAAAAGTGCCATGCGCTGCTCCAAGATTTAAGACTGTCCACACTAACCTTTGAAATGCTGAAGAGTCGAGGGCGGAGGCGGCGACCAGGTCTTGACACATATACCTGAGCAGTGCGCGCGCCACCCCTGCCATGGCGGCGGTAGGCGCCAGCGGGATTTCATCTGACAGAGATCGTGGTCCATCGGTTTCGATCTTGAGTGTTAGGCTGAGCGGTGATCCTTGAGGCGAGTGAGGCTGGGCGGCGTGGGCGGGAGCTGGGGAGTGGGCGCGCACTGTGGGCGGCGGAGAGTCACCCAATCTCGGGTCCCCTTCCGTGGGAGGCACAACATCGTCAGGATGTCTGGAGTTGAGGTCAGTAGCTGAGCAACGGTGTCGCAGCAAGCCTCCCGTGCCGCTGTATTTGGTGTAGGTGACCACCTTGTGGCAATGCTTGCATGCTGCAAAGGGCCGCACCACGCCGTCCACACACACCACGGAAAACCTGCACCACACGTCAGAGATGTAGTGAGAGCCTGCAGCATCCTTCTCTGAGAGTGTAATGCGGGAGGATCCGCTACTGACCAGTTGCTGGACAATGTCTTTACTGAGCCCGGCCCCCTCCTCCCCTCCCTCTTCACGCAGGCGTCCGCCATACCTGCTGGGGGAGACGGAACCTCTCAGGTCCTCCGGCACGGTGTCGCTGGTATCCGCGCGTTCTTTTTTCACCCTGACGCGGCCCCAGGAGCTGCTACAGGCTTCGCCAGGACTGGCTGGGCTGCGCGCCCTTGCCTCCTGCACCACTATATCCACACGCGCACGTTTAGCCTCCTCCTCTCGTTCCCGCTGTTGCTGATGCTGTTGCTGCTGCCGGTGCAGGTGTTCGAGGTGTGAATGGTGCAGCTGCTGTTGTAGCTGCTGCAGACGCTGCGGGTCAGCGAAGAGCCCGGTTGCGTTAGCAAGGTTGAGAGCTGTGAGTGGGTGTGCCGCAGCCGCAGCTACCAGCTGTGGGATCTGCAGGAACCTCAAGTCAATCGGGAACGACGGTGGCGGGGCGCCGGCCTTCCGTTTCCGACTCCCGACGGAGGCGGCGGAGGTGGTGGTAGGCTGGGCGGCAGTGGGCGGCGAGCCCGTGCTGGTGGGTGACGCTCGGGCAGTAGTAGTGAGGGACACTGGCGAAGCTCTGGCACTCCCTCCATCACTATAAGACGCCACCTCGCTCTTAATAACCACCTCCTCCTTGACGACACTGTCATCTATAAAATTATCGTTTTTGACGTCGTTCTTGAGAGCGGCGGTGGTGTCCGCCGGCAGGTTAAGTTTGGCCGATAACTTGACGGCACGATTTACCGGGGATCTCTCTGACAGTGGGTTACATGGATGGCGTAGCAGGCTGGCTGTCCCACTCCTTGAGTCGCAATGTAACACTCGATAACATACCTTACACACGGCGAAAGGTCGAATCACATGATCGACTCGCACACGATAATAGAATTTCCAAGCATCAGCGCGCGCCTTCTGATTAATCTCCAGTTCTAAGCGATCAGAATGCTCTAATATCAACCTTTCGATAAGCGTCTTGTCCACGACCTCTGTCATATTCGCACTGGCCCACGCCAAGCACACAACTGGCCGGAGTAGGTGCGCGTGCGTGAGTGTACTGTAGACTATGTCACGCTCACACACGCCACTACGAACGTGACAGGAAATTTATAACAGCTCGTTCTAGCGGTGCACCACCACCTCGCAAATCAATCCCATTTCTCAGAAGAACCAGTCGTACATTTGTGATTAACGGGTGTAATCAAATGAAACACTGCACACGGTGTCGGAGAAATGGGGAAACACACATACACTGGTACTTCTTGAAAACCCATAAAAACAAGTCGGTGTGAGGGTAGAGGCGCGCTGGCTAGAACGCACTTTGGCCCAGGAGCCGCTGGATGTTGATTCGTCACGGCGGAGTGAGTCAATACTCGGCCCCACGTGACGGGATCACCTCTCCTCTCTCCTCACGGCTCTTCACGCCCTCCCCCTGCCCCTTCCCCTGCCCCTGCCCCCTCCTCATACCCCTCCACTCACGACATACTGCGTTTAGGGACGAGACGACACCAGGGGAACCACCACTGTCGCCAAAACTCGCCGCGTCTGTAGCGCCAGCTGATGTGTGCGTGTGTATGTGTGTGTGTGCAGGCGTAGTTGGGACCTCGACAGTACCTAATCTCCTGATATCTTCCACACTTGACGCTCCTCCACGCTCAATAACCCGGAATTCCTCGAGTAACACCTCAGACATTCACTCCACGACACTGGTTCGCCACTATTCACATCTCTCTTGGACGAGGAGGTCGTTGTATACAGGCTTACGTGGACCCCGCTAAGACGAGTTACATAAATGGCGGAGATATGCAGGCCCATAAACAGCAGTGGTGGTGGTGGTCAGACCAGCCCCAGGCCAGCCAGACAACCACTGAGCTTCGCCATGTTCTGTTCTCCTCCGTCCACCACTCCACCACACCTACACACACAATACTGCCTCGTTCGAGGCATTAGCGTGCCAGCAGGGGAGAAATAAGAGAGCAGGCGGCAGCGCGTAGTGATGGCGCACAGCAAGGAGAGACAACACCCAGCTTGACGTAGCTAGCAGTGAGCGAAGTGCGTTGGGTTGTGGTGGTTGCCGGGGTTGGTGGAGGGGTGGGGAGCTCTGTGGTGGGAATTGGGTGGTGTTGCTGTGGTGGGAATGTGGGGTGTTGCTGTGGGAGTAGGGGAACAAGAGGTGATGTGGTTGAAGCCTAGTGGAGTAGTTTAGGGGGCCCTGATGGTGGAGTAGTGGTGATGGTGGGGGCCCTAGTGGTGTTGGAGGGGGCCCTGATGGTGGAGTGATGGGGGGGGCACTATGGTATGATGGGGTGGCACGTTTACTCCTCCCTCAGTGAGACGACGCCAGGCTGGGCTGGGCGGCGGCAGGCAGTGGTCATGCCTCCACTACTAATTAGGAGCGGACCAGCCAGTCAGGAAGACTCCGCAAGCCTCCACAACTACCTACCTCTTCATCATCAACCTCTCCCACCTCCACAGACATCATCTTCCTCAGCTCCCTCTTTCCATCACATCTCCACTTCCTCTTCGTCACATATTTCCCTGGATTAACTGACAGCATCCCAATTCACGAGATGAATTAGACACGGGTATCATTATCTGGTAGACATTTCGACCTTATCAGTACAATACTAGGATAAAATGGAAGGCTAAGAGAGGATTTAATCAGTCCCTCGGCTATTAAAACCTAGAGCCCTTGTGGTTTAGCGCTTCTTTTTTATTACAATAATATTAAAATCTAGGCCTCCTCAGCCTATGTAACCTATTGTTCGCATTTTTTTTTATCTTATTACGACGTAGACAAAACCCTGGGCTATCTTAAAATTAAAATAAGTAATCTTTACATGGCCTGTGACTCTATTATACAAATTTGTATAATTATAATTAGATTCATATTACTTGTCTTCAATTATTACAATCAAGCCTATCTTAGATTACTTGAAAAAAAGGCCTATCTTCACAAAATATTTTTGGGTACCTTGATTCTGGTGAGGGGCTCGTGATTTAAGGCATTTACCGCATTTTTCCTCGGATTAAACCTGATTGTATAAGCCCTAGCTAAGGGTTTAGCGCTTCAGCATGTATATATCAATAATGCTGCTCCGCGTTGCTTCTCCATTCATAAACGCAAATCCATTCACAATTTAATTCCTTGAAGATATTTTTCTAAGAACGCATGAACGTGAATGTTGGCGTTTCAACGTTGAACCAGAGGAAGTTAAGCCACAGGTGAGGGGAGGTGGAGCAGATGTTGAGGTGGTCAGCTGGGTAAGACGAACCGAAATTGAGCCTTACATGAGAGCTACGCAACGCCCAGGAATTTGAGAGAGTGCGTGACATGCTGCCCACAGTTGCCATATCCCAGTCTTGCACCTGTGTTTCTTTTCACTCCTAGGTGAAACCTGGCGTTGGATGGCAACGTATGGAAGCTCTGTGGGTGTTTCGGTAGAGTATGGCACACGAGGGAGACAATAGATGGTGGTGGTGGGGGTATATTCCGGGAGAGGCAGGTGTTTGTCGGCATTGAACCCCCCGTCCCAACCCAGAGGAGCGGCTGGTCGCCACCAAATACCATGCCTCATGCACCCTAGCCTGTTATCTTCCTGCACACCACAATACTTTACTATGCTATTACTGCCTCCTCAATATTGCTCGCCGAAGATAACTCAAAGTCGCGGTGAAATTGGTCAAATCAAGATCGCGGGGAGAGTCAGGTGGACCTCCTACGGCCCCTAGCTTGAATCTGCCATTTGCAACGTGACAAAAAACGAGCCTGAGGCCTGACGGGCCCAGCCCCTTGCATGCTTAGTTGCAGGAGGCGGTGCACGGATGTGACCCGCAGGAAAGCTGCTGTACCGCCTTCACCAAAGTACCAATTGAGGCCAAATACCACGGCAGCCGGACCGACCGGTCCACTACCTGCCCTACCTGAGGACATCAACGCGGCGGTCCCTCTTTTTTTTTCCCCAAAATTACGAACACCCGCAGTATGTGGCTACCCTATTCTGTATGATAGGTACACTGTGGGAAGACCCGTAGTGTGCTGCTACCCTCTTCTGTATGATAGGTACACTGTGGAAACACCCGTAGTGTACTGCTACCATATTCTGTATGATAGGTACACTGTGGGAACACCCGTAGTGTGCTGCTACCCTATTCTGTATTATAAGTACACTGTGGGAACACCCGTAGTGTGCTGCTACCCTATTCTGTATGACAGGTACACTGTGGGAACACCCATAGTATGCTGCTACCCTATTCTGTATGATAGGTACACTGTGGGAACTCATGCAGTGCGCTACTACCCTGTTCTGTGTAATAGTTACACTGTGGGAACACCCGCAGTGTGCAGGTATGCTATTCTATATGGTAAGTACACTGTGGGAACAAAAGCCAGCTATGTTTCCCTTTCGTATTCCGTCACACAGGACGATATGTGTAATGGAATGTGACAATCTGAACTGGGAGACCTCAACAAGCATTCAGGCATTCCACTATCAGCACGGTAAATACGGCAGCTTCAACTGCTTCCTTCCAGAGCTGGAGTTACACTGGAGGAACACTGCAGCAGGCCTACTGGCCCATATAAGGCAGGTCCAAGTCTCCTACCGGATTAAGCCAATGCTCTAACCTAGTTAGGTCAGGTCACATTTACAGTATGATGTAATCAGTCCATCAACCTTGGAGAAAAAGTGTTTGAGGTGGTCAGTCCCTCGGTAATATTCGTCTAACCCATTATCAATGTTACCAAAGGAATAGGCTTTTGATCCATGAACTAGAGATGTCTTCCCTTGGAAAATATACACCGAGAGGTGTATATCTTTGTATATATACACACAGTTTATTTAAGTCCCCTTTATAAGGGATCGAAGTATTCTTCAAGGAGGTGCCTTGTTTCTGGTGAAGGGCTCCTGATCCAAGTAACTGAAACTACTTCATCCCCAGTTACCAAGGGGGATGCATGACTCCGTACGGGTTTAGCGATTCCCCACGGATAGAAGGACTCTGGTAACTGGAGTTCTAATCCGTGCGTGACTTAAGGCAGATTGGGAAATCAGGAATGCCTGGTATACCTGGGAGCCTGCTATACCTGGGAGCCTGGTATACTTGAGTATCTGTGCGTGAGGAGACCAGTAAGCGGCTCCCACGCCTTGGACCCGGGGCAAGGTATGCCCTGTGGGTATACAACTTCGTGACGGGCATGGCTACGAACATTGATCTTGATGGTGATGGGCTCTTGATCTCAGGTATTGGAGCTACCCCTGTCTCCCTCTCTGTGTCTCCCTATTTGTTTTCCTCCCTGTTTGTCTTCGTCCCTGTCTCCCTTTCTATGTCTCCCTTTTATGTATATCCCCTCCTGTCTCCCTTTTTGTGTCTATGTATATTCCTCCCTGTATCCATTTCTGTGTACCTTCCTGTGTCTCCCCTGCCTCTCTCCCTGTGTTGTCTTCCCTGCCTCTCTTCCTGTGTTGTCTCCCCTGCCTCTCTTCATGTGTTGTCTTCCCTGCCTCTCTTCCTGTGTTGTCTCCCCTGCCTCTCTCCCTGTGTTGTCTTCCCTGTCTCTCCTCCTGTGTTGTCTCCCCTACCTCTCTCCCTGTATTTCCTTCCCTGCCTCTCTCCCTGTGTTGTCTCTCCTGCCTCTCTTCCTGTGTTGTCTACCTGCCTCCCTCCCTGTGTTGTCTCCCCTGCCTCTCTCCCTGTGTTGTCCTCCCCTGCCTCTCTTCCTGTGTTGTCTCCCTGCCTCCTCCTTGTGTTGTCTCCCCTGCCTCTCTTCCTGTGTTGTCTACCGTGCCTCCCTCCCTGTGTTGTCTCCCTCTGCCTCCTCCCTGTATTACTCTCCCTGCTTCACTCCCTGTGTTTCTCCCCTGCCTCTTCCTGTGTTGTCTCCCCTGCCTCCTTTCCTGTGTTGCTACCGTGCCTCCTCATCCTGTGTTGTCTCCCCTTCCTCTCTCCTCTTTTTTCACTTCTACCTCTGTCTGTGTCTTCCTCCATTAGCTGAGGAACTGATTAACTGAAGCTCCCTATTCACAATGTACACTGTTTTCTTCCTTTATTGGACTGATCAAGCACTGGCTGTGAAAACTTTCCACAGTAAAGATAACCTAAGTGTCTCATTCATCCTGAAGTAATAAGAGTCTCTCTCTGTCTCTCTCTCTCTCTCTTCTCTCTCTCTCTTATATATATACTATATATATTATATATAATATATATATATATATATATATATATATATATATATATATATATATATATATACATATATATATATATATATAATATATATATATATATATATATATATATATATATATATATTTCTATCTATCTGTCTATCTATCTATCTATCTCGTGAAGACACACGATGGCAGTACTGAGACTAGCTTGTGGTCTTAGTGTACATGTGGTCTTCAACCAGCACGAAGTCTGCCTCGTAGGTCTGAATGTGGGCTTGTGGATATGTCTCTCGCATAAGACCCGAAGTCCAGTGTAAGAAGACCAGCCTAGCAGAACTAGACTAGGAAAACCAGCCGCCTAGCAGAACCAGACTAGGAAAACCAGCCTAGCAGAACCAGCCTAGTAGAATCAGTCTAGGAGGAACCAGTTTAGGAAAGCCAGCCTAGGAGAAGCAGCCTAGAAAGATCAAACTAGAAGGTCTAACATAAGAGAAGCAGCCAGCTGCACCTCAAGTAAGGAGGTAGAGTTACATGACCTTTTCCAAAAGATGAATTGTATATTGTAGTCCTTAGAATGGCGGTGTGAGGCTGCAAAGTGCGCCCGGGTTTTTGTTACGATTTTCACCGTAGCTTCGACTGGAGAGAGAGAGAGAGAGAGAGAGAGAGAGAGAGCCGTGTTGGAGAGTGTGGGGTGGGATTGTTCCCCCTCTCCTGGGGCCCACCTAGACCACTCCAGGGTCCACCTATCCCACTCCAGGACCCACTGTGACATATCACCTTAGACAAACGGCACATCACGGTGTGGTCAGCAGTGCTGTGAGTGTGGTCACAGCATCCCTGCACGAGATGTGATCTTCGACGTGGTCAGCAACACTACCATCCGTTTACACGTACTCGTGAAGCAAGCTTATTAGGAGAGCGTCGATCTGCGTTATTATAGAGCTCTAACAAGTCGTGATTAAGCTTAACAATGAGCGAAAAGTTGTCTCAATACAAACTTTCTAGAATAAAGCCTGAAAGAAATAATTACAGATCTTCTAACTGCGATATT